TGCTTCGCCATAGCCTCGGCCTACATGAAGAGGAAGAGGAAGGGTGGCCATGGCTATGGTGGACCTCATGTTGTGCCTGCAGTAGAAGTGGGATTCGGACATTGATTCTGGTTATAGCCATTCAACATTATTATTGTTATTTCTCGTTTGAATAAGAGGGGAGGAGATAAGGAAGAGGAGATTGGTTGGTGAAGAAGAAGAGCATTATCTTTGGTCTATGCTGGAGTACATCATCTTCTTCTTCTTTCTTACTTCTTCTTTCTTACTTCTTCTTTCTTACTTCTTCTTTCTTACTTATTCTTCTTCTTCTTCTTTCCCTCTCTCTCCTCTCAAGTTCATTCATTTCTTTTTGCAATTGGACGGCATTGTACTTTCTGATGAATGTACACTTCTTCTTCTTTCTTACTTCTTCTTCTTCTTCTTTCCCTCTCTCTCCTCTCAAGTTCATTCATTTCTTTTTGCAATTGGACGGCATTGTACTTTCTGATGAATGTATACTTCGAAATTGGCCAGGATCGTAACACAGCGCCATATATAGCTGGGTCCAGCCTCAGTTCGATACATTGAGTAGAGGATCGAGGAGGCATACTTCAGACGACAGTAGGGCAGTAGTAGTCGACGATAAGACTAGTCTCCAGCGCTGAGCGCTGATAAAGTAGAGTAGCGCAGGGAGGGAGAGATGGTGATGGCGGCCTGAGGACTTACCTGCCTAGCCATTGCTGCAGCTTCGTCTTCAGCACGTCTGCACCTGTATCAAGGCACCACCTTTCGCACGTCAGTACTTGGTATAGAGAGAGAGAGAGAGATCTTCTTCTTCCTCTTCTTCCTCCAGTCCACCACCTTCTTCTTCCCCTCCCAGCGCTCTGACTTCTTGGGCTATGTGTGTGTGTGTGTGTGTGTGTGTGTGTGTGTGTGTGTGTGTGNAGAGAGAGAGAGAGAGAGAGAGAGAGAGAGAGAGAGAGAGATTGACAACACTTGGGATCTGGAGTCGACATTGGGCAGAGACATTTGGGGGACTGTTTGGGATTGATATCAGCGACATTGGGGTTGACGACATTCTCATCTCTTCCCCCTTCTCCTTCGTCTCTTCCCCCTCCTCCTCATCTGTGTAAGAGTTAGGCCTGGCACCTTCGTCCTGTTGTGCAGTGCCAGGCCATTCACACTGTGTGATGACGATGATGTATGTGCAGTCTGCATTTCGACATTGATTGGGTCCGATCATTTGTATTCCAGTCTTCCGCTGTGCTATCCTGCTCTATTTGTGAGAGGTCGGTTCTTGGTTCTGGTCTGTACCATCTCGGTATGCGACATCCTACCTAGCCTATCTACATTCGTGCAACAGGCTTACTTCGACTTCAATGACCAATGTACATGACGTCAACACCAATGCCGACCTCCCACATACACCACGTATGTACTCTCAACTCCCCTCATCACTCCTTGTCCACCCACACCTGCGCCTCCTTCCTGGAGATCACCGTCGCCTCCACCTGCCCGCGCCCCTGCAGCCCGGCTATGGCCGCTTGGCGCCCCGCTGCCCTGCAGCATCCCACACCTCTCAGCACCCGCGCGCGCCCCAGCCAGCACTAGCGCAATGCAGACACTTGCACTGAATCGCAACAGCGTGTCCGCATTGCCTGCCTAGGCCAGAATGCCGAACACTGGCCGGCCTCCTCCCTATATGGGAGTCACTGCTGCGGCTGCACTGTCTGGGCCTGGCTGTGGAAGTTTCCAGTAGCATCTGGTCTGGCCCCAGTGTCTGTGCCCAGGCCCATGTCTACAGTTGAGGGCCTGGGCCCTTTGCAGTTGTGCACACCCAGGATTATCCAGGCTCCGGATGTTTGCTGTGTTTGCACTGGCCCGCAGGGGAGGTGTGACGGCAATGCTGCATTCTCATTGGCCCGTGGCCACTTCGTAATGTGTCGGCCTCACACTGCGTGTGCCTAGGGCGCAACCACCTGCGTCCTGGGCTCAACTGCCAGACGCAGCTGCTTCTGGAAGAGCCCAGGGTGAGGCCCAGGTTGCACTTAAACCAACTGGCGTGCAGCAACTGTCTGAGACCCACATTGGAAAATGCTGAGACAAGGGCCTCTCGTGGATATTCAGGCCCACCTTCACTTAGGGCGGGCACGAGGCTTGCTGGGGGCCACAGTCAGAACATATGCATGTTGTCTAGGGCCCCATGAGGACACATTCCTCTCACATTGTTCTTTTCTTTTCTTTTCTTTTCTTTTTTCTTTTTTCTTTTTTTTTCAACAGAAAGCCCCATCTATTCTGGGGGGCAACAGTCCGATTGCTTATCACCGGCAAGCATGAGAGCACATGATTGTGGGGGCAGAAAAGAAAAGAAGGGGCAGCCTTACCCTCGCGGCCCGAGCCACCAATCGAGGGGGTGCTGTCAGAAGTTCCGCACCCCTCGAAGCATGTTCTCCTCCGAGGTCCCCCCTGTTAGCCGGGAAACTCACAAACGGTACGCAGACGCAGAACAGGGAGGGTCCCCTAGGAAATCGTGTGCAAGGGGCAGAACCACTGGTAGCCTCCTTGGCCCGCATGCTCAAATGAGCATTGCAACCAGACCCTGTATCACTGTACCAGACCCTTTGTTCACCTGCCTACCTGTTACTTTCAGCCCATATCATCAACCAAATCCCACTCTTGCTTCCATTATCCTGTGACTATATTATTCCTCATTGTCTTCCAATACTATGTGCTAAGAAAGGTGATCTTCCAACTCAACCTCTACCATCACTAATTGTGGGATCTATCTCAGTGGCTGCACCTTATTTTTAGAATTCATTATATATAACCCCGGCCCCTACTGTCTACCATTTGTAAGCAGAGCTACCATACCTGGCATTAATTGCCTGTCATCGAGCCCAACCTAGCTGCTAATAATATATTAATATTTGAAATTCCCAGCATTTTCGTTTAGTTCCCAGCTCATACTCCTACAGTCCTACTCCCTCCCCTACGCTAGACCCTTGCAATCAGACTCGACTTATTCACACTTTTCATGCACGTGAACAGACAACTGGCGACTTGCGCCCACACAGTACACAGAGATATGTCTTCCAGGTAAGTTTGCTTCCACTGGCTATGGCGACTGTGCGCCTCAAACACTCACTGTTCACACGCTGGATCACCCTGGATGTCCTACACGCGATACCCAGTACACACACGCAGTACACACACTCTTCCCCTAAGCTACAGCTATGGCGGCTATGGCCGCTGCTACCCTACTGCTATGGCTACAGTATGTCACTCTCGCCCTCTTCGTCTTCGGGCCTTCTGCAGAGCTCCTCGCACAACCTGCTGAGGCAGCGCTTCCGCATGGCTTCCGCAGGAATGAATAATGACTGGACGCAGCCTCTTGATTTATACTTCTGCGCTGTGTTGGTCTGCCGTGTGTCCCTTGGCCCCTGGTGCACACAGTCCCAGACGGTGCTTGCTGGACAGGACCGGACTGCATAACTGGGACTGTTGACTCAGCGAGGTGGCCTACCACCACTTGACCACTTGCCTCTGTTCGACGCAGGCTCACTCCGAAAGGCCACTTCAAGAAACCTCTAACTTGGCCTTTCGGTACTGTAGCGGCTACGACCTTGACCTTTCAGACATCCTACAACTACCACTTCGGAACTGTCTAGACTCCTACCCTACAGGTGTACAGTTCGATTCCCTTCTACCCTGTAACCTACGAAAACCTACCTACCACTGGCGGTCCTACAGGTCGCAGGTTCAAATCTACGGGTTGACACTGGTACTGTACACAGGTAA